GGGGGGGTTGCAGTTCATACAATAACTGTTTCTAGTATCAAGTCATTGATGAATTACACCTTACTAATAAAGGCATATATTTTGTGTAATCAATACAGAATAGACAGGTATTTCATACATTATGTGTAAATTGTAAAAAGAACACTTCCAGTGATGGAGTGCTTTGTTATTAGAGTTCTTCTGTGTATCTTCAGAGATGCATTTACTGATTTTAGAGGAACAGGAAGTTGGTCATATCTTTAATAACCTTTGTTGTATTTCACCATCGCATTTACGGACCCCCTGCAACCTTAAATAGGGTTAGCAGTTATAGAACATGGATGGATGGATGGATGGCTATATTTAAAACTGAAATGAACTACAACTAATTTTATCCACAGGACAACCTGCAAAAATCTGCGAGTTTGTGTTTGTCTACATATTGACTGTCACATTGCTCTTTCGATTCTGGCTTCGGGAATATTTATTTGGTATGTATTTTCTTTTTTTATTTTTAAACAACCCATTCACTGAAAGTTGTTTTAAATATTTGATTCTGAATGTTTTATTATTATTATTATTATTATTATTATTATTATTATTATTATGTAAACAGAGCATAATTTACAGATGTACAGCTGTTTGAATGTATATACTGTACCATAACAAAGTATTCTAATCCCGATTCCCTCAATTTTTTCTTATTCATAACACTAAATTGTTTGCAATAAGTCAGTCCAGGAATTTCTTCCCTGCTAGACATTCCACCATTAACTGTAAGTTGTATTATTGCAAAGCCGTAGACCATGTAAAGTAAGAGAGCAGGGTCACTGAGTGCTGAGGTCCATAGTGTATAAAAGTCGCCAATGCTCTGTTCACTCAGTAGCTGCAGAGTTTCAGACTTCCTCTGGCATTAACCCCAGCATAAACACTGTGCACCGGGAGCTTCATGGAATGGGCTTCCATGACCGAGCAGCTGCATGCAAGCCCCACATCACTAAGTACAATGCCAAGCATTGGATGGAGTGGGGTAAATCACACTGCCACTGGACTCTGGAGCAGAGGAAACGTGTTCTGTGGAGTGACGAATCACACTTCTCTGTCTGGCAGTCTGATGGACGAGTCTGGGTTTGGTGGATGACAGGAAAATACTACCTGCATGACTGCATTGTGCCAACTGTAAAGTTTGGTGAATGAGGGATCATGGTATGGGGCTGTTTTTCAGGGGCCCCTTAGTTCCTGTATGCTTCAGCATACCAAGTCATTCTGGACGATTCTACTTTGTGGGAACAGTTTGGGGAAAAGCCTTTTTCTCTTCCACCATGACTGCACCCCAGTGCACAAAGCAGGGTCCATAAAGACATGGTTGGGTGAGTTTGAAGAACTTGACTGGTCCACACAGAGCCCTGACCTCAACCCCATCAAACACTAGAAAATTAGATTGCAAGCCAGTCCTCACCAATGCTCTTGTGGCAGCTGTTATAAGTGCAAAAAGGGGACCAACTCCATGTTGAAGCCTATGGAATGTTCTGTGGCTTATTGAGCTATCAGTTAGACATAACTCCTGCTACATCTGGCGTAAAGCTAACGCAGCTTCCACACAAAGAACATGGTGGAGGCAGAGTGATGCTGTGGGGATGCTTTGCTGCTGCACGGCCTGGGCGACTTGCTGTAATTGAGGGAAGCATGAATTCAGCTGTTTGCCAGAAAGTGCTGAAGGAGAATGTCCATCATCAGTCTGTGATTGGAAGCTCAAATGCAATTGGGTTATGCAGCAGGACAATGACCAGGGACGCTGTATCCTTGCAAACCGTTCCGGTCCCGACACCTGGCGACGGAGACTTACTGATAAGAAATCGGTGAGTTTTATATAGTATTCTGCCTTGTGTGGCCGACACCTTATCGTGCTGGAGGGGTTTGCGTGTTCCAATGATCCCAGGAGCTAAGTTGCCTGGGGCTTTATTCCCCTGGTAGAGTCACCCTAGGCAAGCAGGTTCTGGGTGAGGAACCAGATGAAGTGCGGCTCATTAGATCCCTTATGAAGAAAAATAACATTGATACACGTTTTCCCTCGCCCAGACGCGAGTCACTGGGCCCCCCCTGGAGCCAGGCCTGGGGGTGGGGCTTGATGGTGAGTGCCTGTTGGCCAGGCCTATACCCATGGGGCCTGGTCGGGCACAGTCCAAAGAGGGAACGTGGGTCCCCCCTCCAATGGGCTCACCACCTGTAGGAGGGGTCAAGGGGGTTGGGTGCAGTATGAGTTGACCAGTGGCCAAAGGCGGGGACCTTGGCGGTCCGATCCTCGGCTGCAGAAGCTAGCTCTAGGGACATGGAATGTCACCTCTCTGGCAGGGAAGGAGCCTGAGCTGGTGCATGAGGTTGTGAGGTTCCAAATAGATATAGTCGGGCTCACCTCGACGTATGGCTTGGGCTCTGGAATCAGTCTCCTTGAGGGGGGGTGGACCCTCTTCCACTCTGGAGTTGCTCACGGGGAGAGGAGCCGAGCTAGGGTGGGAATACTTATTGCCCCCTGGCTGGGCACCTGTACATTGGGGTTTACCGCGGTGGACTAGAGGGTAGCCTCCCTTTGCCTTCGGGTGGGGGGAAGGGGCCTGCGCTTATGCGCCAAATGGCAGGTCAGAATACCCACCCTTTTTAGAATCCCTGGAAGGGGTGTTGGAGAGCGCTCCTCCTAGGGACTCTCTTGTTCTGCTGGGGGACTTCAGTGCTCACGTGGGCAATGACAGTGAGACCTGGAGGAACGGCCAGGTTGCGGCCGCATGTGTTTGACACTCGGGTGAGGAGAGGGGCGGAGCTGTCAACCGATCACCACCTGGTGGTGGGTTGGCTCGGCTGGTGGGGGAGGAAGCTGGTCAGGCCTGGTAGGACAAAAAGTATAGTGAGGGTATGCTGGGAACATCTGCCGCAATCCCCTGTCCGAAGGAGCTTCAACTCCTACTCTGAAGCAGAGCTTCTCCCAGGTCCCAGGGGAGGCGGGGGACATTGAGACATGGAGGCGGCTGACCGGAGCTGTGGCCATAAGGTAATCAGTGCTTGTCGCGGCGGCAATACCCAAAGCGGCTGGTGGGCACCAACGGTGAGGGATGTCGTCAACCTGAAGAAGGAATCCTATCAGGCCTTTTTGGCCTGTGGAACTCCAGAGGCAGCTGATGAGACCCAGAGGGCCAAGCAGTACACGGCTTCGGTGGTCGCTGAGGCAAACACCTGGGTGTGGGAGGAGTTTGGCAGAGTCTGAGTCTGGGGACTTGGGGGTGGACTCGCCTATCTCTGGGGCAGAGGTCGCTGAGGTGGTTAAAAAGCTCCTCGGTGGCTGGGCCCCAGGGGTGGATGAGATCCGCCTGGAGTTCCTGAAGACTCTGGATGTTGCAGGGCTGTCCTGGTTGACACGCATCTGCAGCATCGCGTGGACATCGGGGGCGGTGTGTCTGGATTGGTAGACAGGGGTGGTGGTCCCCCTCTTTAAGATGGTGGACCAGAGGGTGTGCTCCAACTATAGGGGGATCACACTCCTCAGCCTCCCTGGTCAAGTCTATTCGGGAGTCCTGGAGAGGAGGGTCCGTCAGAATGTCGAATCTCGGATTCAGGAGGAGCAGTGTGGTTTTCACCCTGGCCGTGGAACAGTGGACCAGCTCTATACTCTCAGCAGGGTCCTGGAGGGTGCATGGGAGTTTGCCGAACCAGTCTACATGTGCTTTGTGGGCTTGGAGAACCGTGTCCCTCAGGGAGTCCTGTGGGGAGTGCTCCAGGATGGATGGATGGATGGAGTGGCATAGTCAAAGTCATTAATTGAACCCCATTGAGATGTGATGACTAGACCTTAAATGGGCAGTTTATAGTCAAAAATTTAAATGATTACATTGAGAAGAGTGAGCCAAAAATTCTCCATAGCATTGCCAAAGCTTATCACAAGTGCTTGATTGCAGTTGTTGCTGCTAAAAATGGCAAAAACTAAGTATTAAGTTTAGGGGGGTAATTTGTCACATGAGTGATGTGGGTGTTGGTGAGTTATTTTCTTTATTAAATGAAACATTTAACAACTACTTGTTTTTTACACAGGTTGCCCTAAATAGGTTTAGCGATCATACACAATTAAGTGTGATGGATAAGCAAAAATGGAGGGAATGAGGGGCAAGTACTTTGTCATGACACTGTATGTAGCTGTATGACTAATGCTTTTCTCTCTACCTTTCAGTCGAACCCCGTAAATATGTATATTTCTCAGGGGCTTTTGGTCCTCCTCTCGTGAATTCTCTCGCCCTGGCTGTAGCACTAACACTCAAAGCAGGTAAATACACTAAAACTTTGAGATGTTTCTCTGGAAATTTTACTTTTACTAGGTAAACTTAACAATGCAGCTAAATTGCACAAACCATGTAGGAAATATACAGTACTGTGCAAAAGTCTAGGCAGTCCAAAGAAATGTTTAAAGCTGTTTATCTGGGTAGCAAGTGTACTTTGGCTTAGAACAAAAAACACAATTTAACATTAGAACATGTGCATATTAAGAGTAACACAATAAAAACTAGTAATAATTTCTTCTGTTTTCTAAAAACTTACTGATATCTAGTTGGATGGCTAGATGAACACCGCTTCAGTTCCCAAACTTCTCCTCAGGGGCACCTCAGCCATTCCATGATTTTGTTAAATTTCACCAACAGCTCAATTAAATAATTAAATAATTTGGTTTAAAAGGTCAGTGACAGATTGACTAGCTGTATGAAGTGTGCTAGTGGCCAAGTCAAAAAATACATGGCTGCACTGGACGGTTGCTGCAAAAACTGGGATGATTTTAGCAGAGGTTCTGAAATGGCTAAGCTGACACACTTTGACAGGCATAATATCATAGTTTTACACCAACACGAGGATAATCTAAACATCATTTTTTTTGCCTGCCTAAGACTTATGCACAGTACTGTATGTATTTGTGTGGTTTAATATCTGTCACTTCCTGCTGATTTACTGACCTCAGCTCAGTGATTTTTGTGATGATGTCATTTCAGACACAGGAAAACAGCCACTGGATCTACGGCTGATTGTCCTGATTTCTGGGTCTGTCTTCCTCTTTGGCTGGTTTGTTATAGAGATGTCTGCATACTGTAAGTATAACAGAGGCATAACTTACCATAAAGGTTGGATATGTGTACTGGGACTTTTCCAGTATCTCCACATGTTCAGCACGTAACCTGCATGAATATTATACAATTTGTAATGTCATAATTTTATTTATTTTTCTCGTTGTCTGGCTCAGGACGTAACCTTCCATAATACTACTGCTTTAATTCTTTTGGGATTTTTTGGTCCACCTTTATGATGCTGTTATAGTGGTGTAGGACTGTAATGGCCTCCTGGCCAGGAGGGGGCACTTGTGCTGTAATGGGGAGCCTGACTATTACAAATAGACAAGATAAAATATGAGGTAAAATAAACACAACCTCTGTAATGCAGTACGCACGTCAATAAACGTTATTAGTATCAATTATATCATTGTTATATAATTAGAAATTATATATTTTTACAACTTGGCAGCTACATTAAACTCCATACTGATGTCTTACTGATAATTGATGTCTAACTTATTTGAACATAATTGAACATGTTTAACTGTATTTTTGTAAATTACAGGTTTGGCCAAAAAAGAAAAGTGAGTATATGTACCAGCAATTTTTTATAATAAAATGATAGAAATGTAGAAAAAAATCTATCCATCCATCCATCCATCCATTGGAGTGAGTCTGGCACTTGTCACAGGGAATGCAGGGCACAAGGCAGGGGACACCCTGGGCAGGATGCCAGTCTATCACAGAGCAAACACACACATTCACATATGATGGGACATT